ATCCCTACACTGCTTGGGCTTTGCAGCTCCAGCACCAGAGGGGAGGAAGGAGTTAAAGAGGCCTCTGCTGAGGTGCCAGGAAGTCTGGAAACGCTATAAGGTTGTCATGCCCTGAGCAGCAGCAGCTCTGATTACTTGAGGCCAACATCTGGGCTGAAAGGGGGGCCTCCCGCATCCTGGGCTTCAGGGCAGGGAGAGGAGAGCTTCTGCTGGGGCAGGCTCTGCCTGCCCTACCCTCCCCTCTCTGCCCAGAGAGGGGCCTGGCCCCAGCCGAAGGAGGGGTTTTGGGGAGCACAGCTCACCTTTGCTGTCCATACAGCTCTTGTCTGCTACCCAGCCAGGCTTTGTCATGCCCATGAGCCCCAAACCCTGGCACCTAGCAGCAGCAGGGAGGGACAGACCACAGGCACAGCCAAGCTTATTTTGCTGCAAAATTTTAATACAAACCAGCCCCTAAGTACAGTGCTGGGGCCATGTCCAAACCACTGCAGCTGGGCAGAGCCAGCCCTGGTCCCCAGGGAACAGCAGGGCTTGGAGCTTGGCCCCACCAGCCCACAGGCAGCTGCCTGGTCCCGCAGGCTGTGCTCCTCCTCCAGTGCCAGTTCTGTGTCCCAGGGAGCTGCAGGCTACACAGGAGAAGGGAAGAACCGACCCACCTTCTTTGGGGCTGGCCCCTGCCTGTGTGGGGAGAGATGAGTCAGGGGTGCAAAGGGAGCTCCCCTGGGCCCCCACCCACCCCAACAGCACTCACAGGGGCCGGGCGGCCGTGCCCACGCAGCTCCGCAGTGTGCTGGGGAGGCAGCAGGTGCCAGCTGGGCTCAGCTGGCCCGCCTTGGGCTCCGGGGAGGTGATGGGGTGGAAGAACGGCTCTGCAGGACAGAGGGGGAATGGCTGTCACACCCCAGCCCAGCCCTGGGCACCCAGAACCCTTCAGCATCCACAGAGCAAGGGCAGGGAGGAGGCCAGGGCTCCTGGGACTCACCGCATTCACCCCCTGGGGCTGGCGTCGGCACCAAATTCTCCT